TACAAATGTAATGAAGTTCGCTCTACATTTTTTACAACTTTTTTGTCCAACCAATAGGTAAGGACTCCTCAAAGACTGACCTTGGAAACGCGGAAGGCCTGAAGAGTACTTTTGTGGTGTCACAACTGACATTATCTGGTGATTTGATCTAGATCAATGAATGTAAAAAACAAATTAATGTAGGTACTTATACGTTTTTGAGGCGCAGCATGAAGACTCAAATCAACTTTGGCGAACTGAAAACCTAAAAGCTTCTAACCACTGCTATGTCTTATGTGTTCGTAACACCTAAAGTGATAACACAACAGTATTCCAATTGTAACAAAGAGGGCTACTTTGGGTGTCACGAACTACTTGACGCTGCCTGTACAAAATTCATCATTTATTTAATGCGTAATTACAATTGAAAGCAAACAGAATTACAGAAAGAAATTATTATCTTACAGACCTTTTCCACTGAGAACTTTCTACTTTTCAAGAATTTCCAAATCCAATATATCTGGACTTCGCCTTCAATGGACCGAGCGTTTGATGCACAAAATGTGATCAATTTTTTCGGTTTATTTTAGAACATCCGGCATTTTTCATAGTTTTTTACGGTTTAGGTTTCATGATGGTAACCCTAAAGATCAAGAGTAACCCGTACCAGTCGCCGTATCCAACAATGTACTCGCATCGCGAAAAAATCTCATTCCAATTTCACGCAACGTAAACTTCGTGAACACTTTTTGCTTGTTATGATGACAAAGTATTTCCTAGTTTGATCTAATTGTGCCGGCCTATTGAATTGGTCTAGAGCTGTGGCTTTACTATGCGTTGATTCATGGAATTGAGTTCTAGAAAATGTTTTTCTTTTTCTATTGCTGTATTACAGGACTTTTTATTCAACTAACCCGGAAACCACCAGTGTTGGACGTTGGTTCATAACAAATCTTGTTCATTGACCAACAAAACAAAGAAATACTTTTTCACTTGAATGTTCGAGTATTAGTTATTAAATGAGAGAGGAAAGACAGGTACTGTGAGATAATATCATTTCTTATTGTAAAATGCTTTCCGATGACACACTTCGTATTCTTTTTGACACCCTGTAAAAAGTAAACTATCGCAGAAATAAACTTAGTCTTTAACAAAAATAAATTCATGTAACGGCTGTGCCATCTCTGGGATCTCTATACCGCTACCAGCTCGTGTAACGACCACGGCCTTACACCTGAGCGTTTTTTGTTTTGCACATCGTCTGGGCCGGTCACCTTGCACTTTCGATTTTGCGCGCGTTGCGTTGACAACTTCATTCAGATTCGGGCATTTTTGTGTGACTGTAAAATCATTTGCGATAAATATCTGATCAATTTTGAATCTTAATGAGAGCCTAAACTTATTTTATCAGATCAGGGATAACTAACAACAGAGCGAATACAAAAAACATTCCATCATACATATTATATTCGTATTTTAATCATCAAAATAATTCTAGCTAAATTCAATCAATTTGAAAACTGAAAGTGATTGCAGGTAAATGCAGACTCTTTTTTCTTAATTTTTTTATCGTTCACGATAAAGATGGATCCTGAAAAAATGTTCTCGACCGAAAAGACACGTAGCCATAGGTATGATTTTTTCTGAAACAAATCATTATTTTCAAACAATAAATCCTACTTACTTATTTGTCAACTGGGTAGTAAAAGTCACCAGTTATTCGTGAATGCAAGTGTACAACACTGTTGGCAACACTCCGGTTTTAGTTCCACGAAATCAATTCTTCACCAGAATTATTTGAATATCTCTATTCTTATATTATATTCTTAACCATGAAATACATTAGGTAAGGGAAGTTTGATTATGTACTCGTAGTACTCGATTTTAAAGATAAAAAAAATCTACTTACTCAAGTGTGAATTCAACATTATAGTAGCTTCTGGAATTCTTAAATTTCAAGGACTTCAAAGTAACTTTAGAAGCCAACTTTTTTACAAACCATAATCGTCCTTGATAATGAAGCCTTAATTTAAGGCTAAAAGACGGTCAATAAGAGCAATCTTTGTGAACAATTTTTATAGCCTACCAGTGAATTGAATTTTGTTATTTTAAACAAAGAAGTTTACCAGGTAGATTTCAAGAGCCAGAAAAAAACTATTTAGGTCTTTCTGACGCTATGCTATCAGGTTGACTAAAAGTGCCCTCCGTAGAACGTGTTTTTCTTATAAGTAGGTCTAGGTACCTGTCAAATCATTTCTGCGTCCTATCTATAAAAATGAGAACCATTACCTACAATGACTTTCAGTGTGTATATCCCAACTGGGAATTGTACCCAGGACACCCACCTACTCCGTAACCCACTTGCGTTAATCATAGAACGCAAGTCTTAAACTACTACGTGTACTACTTATAACTGTGTTACAAATGTGCATGGCAACATAGATCGGCCTTCGCAGTTATCTAATGTTAATTATGAATTAAATTAGAGAATACATAATGACCCGTACCTGGATGTCGCAACTGACACGTAGAAAGTCTGTGACAATGTCGTTTGATTGCTTTTGGCAAATGTTACCTTTAGAAGTGGTGTTACCATAATAGAATTTGAAAATAAATAGCCAACGGGTATACTGTAGATTGTAGATCATACTGCATTAAACATCTATGATAATAAGTAAGATACTCTAATTCGTTCGTAATATAAAAAACTTAATACTTGATTCAAACACATGCACAAGGTTGACAAGGTTAAAAATTTGAAAATTCAACCAATCAGGGAATATAATCCATACTTTAGTTTAAGTTCAATCAAATCGAGTTTTGCGATTTCGTTTCATCTGCTTTACCATGTTGTTAATTTCATTCTTAAATAAAAAAATCGCTAATATCAATATTCAATTCCAAAATACAAATCAAACTATTTACCCACGACTCTACAATAAAATATAACCCCAGTACAGTGGGTCCCATAAATTGATACACACGTCGCACGCTGACGTCACCTTAATTACAGGGTATTACTTATGCGTGTGAGTCGAAACTGAGGGACTGCATCAAATCGCGATGAGATTAATACTGCGCCCGCGCCGTTAATAAATTTGTCGCCGCAGTACAGATAGGGCGAGAGTGCGACCAGGACAATGAGAGGGCCTGAATTATTGCGCTGATAGGCCATTAGTCTTGAAGCTACAGTATATTGGCTGGGATAGTGATATCTGGTTTGCTAGAAGGAGCACTGAAAAACGAGAGCCTTTTCTACTATACACTACTACTACAGCCCAAATACCTACCAAGCACCTTCATTGAAACTTGAAATCATAGAATGTCATAGACGGGATTCGAATCCGTTCAAATCATTTACAACTCGGTGTGCCTTCTAAAGGTGATCCTACTACCATAGGCGTACACATTTTCTTATAATCGTTTTAAGTTAATAATATTCATAGCTTCATTGTGTGTTAAAACTTAATTCCTCGAATAAAATAAAAATAAAAATAAAAATACAATTTTTCTACTAACCATTTTATGAAACCGTCACAAGTCTATTTCTATGGAACTGAAATATGGTTTTACTTACATACTTATGTTCATTACAAAGTTTCAGCTCAATCGAACAATTATATTACAGCTCGTGAGAATGGATTTAACACCCACCTACAGGTGAAGCTAATAAATGCCTGTAAAAAATGCACATACCAGTACATATGAGAGATTAATTGTCATTAACATAATGTAAAACATCACACTGTATATTAAATGCCAATTGTACCGGATTATAAAAGATGTATAATTAATGACTTCTGTCACATCTAATGTGCAAATATGATCATAATATTATAATTATATCTATTAAGAATTTAAAATTCAAAGAGCAAATTGTTTTTATAGATTCTGTTGATAAATGGTTCATGCTGGGTGTTATAAATCAAAATAGTCAAAAAAATTAAAATATAAATCAGTGGCATATCCAGTTTATTATCAAATATCTAGAACGTAAAGTAATGTTGGTACCTAGAGGTAATTCACCAAGCGATGGTATCGGTTGTCGATATGCCGTTTTTATGACCGTTCTTCAGTGTGCCTACCATGAGTTTACGTTAGGTGTGCTCGCTAGCGACTGCGTAAAAAAATGACATTTAAATGTATGACATATTGTGCAGCGCCCCTAGCGGCTACTTTCAAGAAATAAAATCTTCATAGAATTTTTTGACGTATTCGCTAGCGAGCTCACCTAACGTAAACTCATGGTAGGCACACTGATAGAGAAAAAGTTGGAAAATCTGTCTGTCGCCAGGAAGTTTTATTGAGCACGGTCCTAAGTCCTTTAAAACATTAACACTTGAATGTAGAGTTATAAAATCAGCACTTCTTCGTTTATCGAAGCAATGTCCCCCATAAAATGGTTAATTTACTAATTAAATGTGAAACACACTCAATATTACAATAGGTAAGGTACAAAAGCCTGAGCTTTAAGCTCTAGTAGCAGTAAGTATTTACATGGTAAAATGCATATAGAGTACTACCATGACCGGCAGCCAAGAATAACGAATACATTTCAAAGCCAAAAGTAGAAAAATGGGAAAAATACAAACTTAAACTAACTTGAGTTCCTTGAGGGATTTCTTCATAGAGAATTTGCTCTGTAACTGTTGTGCGGAGTATAAATATTTACTCAGCACTTTGACCCCTGTCAACCAACTTCCTTAGCCGCCCACTTCATACTTTCTACTAATCATCTTTATTAAACAGTACAGATTAGCATAGAGTAGGTACTTACGCCTCGACTAATCTATTCTGTGCTCCACTATGTAGATGGCAACTTTCAGTCTCAATACCGATCTAAGTTATGTATCTTGTAAGCAATCAGCTGGAGATAAAAATAGAAACTTCTAAAGAAAGTATCCTTTTATAAATGGAATTGAAATATCCAACGCACTATCGCTCTGGTATCGAAATCTAGCCCAGTATAATAGAGCCGGACAAACCTGCCTAAATGACCTATGATACATTTAACGCGACAGGGGCAGGGCGTGGCGACGCGTGCGCAACTAGGCCCCGCGGGGTGCGAGGGGCGCGGAATCGAAGGGACAGTACACGTAAAACTAGGCAGGATGCTTGTGGTACACTGTACTACTGAAGAGCGATTTTGTGATGAAGACTTCATCGCTAAAGTCAGTAAACAGGAGCTGAAGCCTCCGGCTGTAATTTGTGGATATAGAAAAGAGATTAGTTGGTGTTTGGCTTATTCATCGCAACCACCATTGAGATCTGCGATTGTCGAGCCGCTCACGTCCAACATTAACGTATCCTTCAAAGTCTTCTTATGTTGTCATGAATCGATGTATCGCTACCGCTTGTAACTCGCGGAAAACAGACTTCTTTTGCCAAGAGTGTCCCAAAACTTCCTTATGATTCTCTCACAGCTGCAGTTTGTGAAAAAGCGCCAGAACAGTATTATTCATATCGCCTACGAGTTGTGTAGAGCCAGCTAGAATGGCTGGAAGCATCCTGGCTGTTGATAAGATGATAGTTGAGCACTCACGATATGCTAAATGGCTACTCCTGCACCTATCGTTCATACATCTGCAACCCCTGCCTGTATTAAATTCAGTCATCGAACTGCTGTAATCTAACTTTACGCTTTTGGTAGTTGATCTAAATAACTATCAAGCTTCAATCCTAAACGGTTTGAAACCCTAATTGGTGACCAAACTTACTTCGTTATGCTAGCTACAGGACTTGCAGTGGCAGGATAGAGGAGTGTGGTACTACTAACCCAAAATTATAACATCGCTCCCGCTTATAACTTGCGTAGGGCCAGGAAGAGTGGCCGGCCGGGCCGTCGTGCAGCCATCGGGCCGCTACTGATAAATCATTAATGGCCAAACCACAGAGTCATGTACCAATATAAAATTGTAATATCGCTCTTGCTTATGACTTACGTAGGGCCAGGAAGAGTGGCCAGCCGGGCCATCGTGTAGCCATCGGGCCGCTATTGATAAATCATTAATAGCCCAACTATAGAGTTTAAGCCTCACTGTACCAATATAAAGTTGTAATATAGCCCTCGCTTATGACTTACGTAGGGCCAGGAAGAGTGGCCGGCCGGGCCGTCGTGCAGCCATCGGGCCGCTATTGATAAATCATCGACAGGCCACGCGCGCCCCCGGCCAGGCTGCGCAAGCGCACCCGCACATACACCTTAGCGAATGCTAATAAAAGCGAACTGTGTTTTACCGTTTGCTATAAATCTAACGCAAGAACGAAAGTGACTATTAATTCGGATTCGTTTAAATTAAATGGTACGTTCTGTAAAACATATTGTAGGTAGAGTACAACTTTATACTGTATTTTCAAGAATAGCTTTAGGATTTTTAAGAGGAATCAGGATTTGTCTATCCAAGTGCGTTGTAAAGTTTGGATAGTTTTTTAATGAGTCGGTTTTTTGCATTTATAGTAAAAAAAATGGGTTGAAGTCCCACCATTTGGTTTCAATCACAGATTTTTTTGTATGAATAAAAATGTAAACATCACAAAGCAAACTAGGGTACTGTACCATGAACCAAATGACGAAATAGAAAGTAAATGATAACTCAGTAGTACGTTTTAATTAAATTCAGTCTGCTTCTCGTTTTGACATCACCATTGCGTGGGCATGTCCGCTAACTATGTGTTAATTAACGCATTGTACATTAATACAGGGTGTACCCTAATTCCTAATTAGCATAATGATCATCAAACAGGTTTGCCCTGTGAGTAGATCTTTTCTCGTTTTCTCGTCGGTCCTAAGCATCGTTTACACTCCTTTAGATTCCTTGGAAGCGTTTTAGTTTGTAAAAAAACGTTTAAAAGCTTCATCCCAAATAATGAAGTGCAAGTCAGTATAAAAATCATTGTAAAAAATCTATCTATTATCCTAATCTAAAGAAATATGTCAACTTCAAAGTTTAACTGCTTACAAAGAAGAACAAGAAATAAAATTATCAAAGCTCCAACTTGATAGATAAGATTTTTGGAAGGTAGCACGTTAAGGCTGAGATGAATCACCTTCTTCAACCGTAACTATGAGTATAACCAGTGTTTTTGTATGGAGTTTGACAGACGTTTGAAGTTTGTTATAGTGTAAGCCTGTCAAACGTCATTGCAGCTTGAAATTCCACCCTGTATTAGTTGGCCCTGTTTAATTTGTGCCCGTAATTGGGCTCTTACAAAGGTCAAAGGTATGTAGTCCAGTAAGTTTGAATTAATTTCAAATTAAATCGTGCTTACCGGTCTTGATAACATGAATATTTAAATGACGTTATCTTATTTTATACGCTGTTGCGACAAAAGGAGTAGATGACAATGGTGATACCTGAATAACTAGTATAATTTGTAAATATTATTGATACCTAAATGGTAATATCATTTGTAAATATTATTGTAAGTCACTAAAGTCGGTATCTTAAATTGTCTAAAAGGAATTAAAATAATTTTGATTCCAACTGGACAATCTGGATATCTTTAGGGGAGGCCCATTGGCTGACTATGGGACGTCTTGTGGCTGAAATGCTGATGTGATGATGATTAACTAAAATTTTGATTTGCCACGCGGTCTCGTGCTAGATGGGCGTCTTAAAGGCCACCTTCTATCAACGGGAGCGCGTGGTAAGTAACTTGCTTCTGAATGTATGTAACTTCCTACTTTTTTATTTTTAAACCGGCAGACAGTGGTGACTGAGTTTGTTGCGGCGCTTCTTCTCAGCACTTGCCAAATGTTTGTCTCGAAGCGCTGGTAGGGCAAAAAAAGAATGAGACATGTATAGGCTCCTTAAGAGCATTTGACGATTTGCAAGAACTAATTTAATTAGTCTAAACAAATAAAGATAATTTTGATTTTGATTTTGATTTTACCTACCTACTTTTATAGAACATAGGTAGGTACTAACTTAACTCTAAGGCTGAGTTGCTCCACCAAACTTTAACGGTAACTAGAACGATAACCGGTGTTTTTAGGGTTCCGTACCTCAAAAGGAAAAAACGGAACCCTTATAGGATCACTTTGTTGACCGTCTGTCTGTCTGTCAAGACCCTTTATCTCAAGAACGCGTGGACGTATCAAGCTGAAATTCACATGAAATACTCAGGTCTATTATCCCTTTAAGCTGTGAAAATATCAAACTTCTAAGCCAAGCCAATCAAAAGTTACAGCCGATTATGTCGATATTTTCAACAAATTTTCGACACTCGCAAAGGAATCAAAACCTACAGGATACTTCCCGTAAACTCAGAATCTTGAAATTTGACATGAAGCATTGTCATATAATGCAAATATAGGGAAAATTGCGAAAATCACATTTTTTTAGTTATAAAAAATATTTTAATAAAATGAAACTTACTACCTTATTTCTCACGAACGAATAAAGGTATCAAATTGAAATTTATACCAAATACCTAGGTCTATTGTCCCTTTAACGACACCTTAAACGAATTTCCGTCACACGCTAGGGAATCAAAACCTACAAGGTAGGTAGGTACTTCCCGTGAACTCAGAATCTTGAAATTCGGCACAAAGCAACGTTATATAGTACAGATAAAGGAAAAATTGCGAAAATGATAAATTTGAAGTTGCTTAAAATATTATTTTTGCTTACATGACATAAAATATTTTTTTAATAATTATAAACTTACTACCTACCCTTTTTCATATGAACGCGTAGAGATATTAAAGTTGAAATTCATATCAAACACTTCTTAAAATCTAATTGCTCTAAACTGTGAAAAATTCTAAATCAACGCAAAAATTCAAAACGCTGAGGTAGGTACCTACCTATAATCATACCGCATATTTTGAAATTCGCCACTACTCGCAACGGAATCAAAACTTAAAGACTACTACGATATCTAGTAAGTAATTTGATTTAATACGTCATAAATTGTAAACCGCTACGTTTGTACGGCGGAACCCTCGGTGTGCGAGTCCGACTCGCACTTGGCCGGTTTTTGTATGGAGTTTGACAGATTTTTGATGTTTGTAAAAGACAAAGTCAGATGGTGCAACCCAGCCTAAGGCCTAACACCCCTATTCACAAACGGTTACTTAAGTGCTGCAGCAAATCGAACACACAGCGTTGAATAGAGCTCTGTGTTTGGTTCGCGTGTAACCCTGTGCGTTCACGCGCATTGTGAGACCTCATAGTAATGTTTGTGAATACGGGCGTAAGTTACTTTTCAATATTAACGAAAGTAGGTAAAGCATTATACTCGTAGTAAAGTAATAGTAATCTATTTCACCGCGTAATCTGAGCTAAGTTTCATGAATATAACACTAGGGGGCGCCGGGCGTGTCGCACGCACCGCCACGAGCGCGCGCACGAAACTACGAAACACTTGCGTAAAATATTGATCTACCGATCTAGCCGGTATAGACTCGGAATTACGAGTAAGTTTAGCAAAATTATATTATGCTATTCTTAATCGATTTTAACGCCTCAAATTACTGAGCCGCCACCAGGAAACCTACGCACATAAACAATTGGAAAAAATATAGTATTTAAACTCTGATTTTTAATTCGACGGAATTTTGACATTTCAGTACCTCTAGTAGGAAAAACTTTCGAGTTCGTTTCGTTGCGTATTCAAAGTGTCATCGAAAAATTTTGTATGAAAAATTAAACAGCGCCCCCTATATTATAGCCGCCCTAGGGGGCGCTGTTTAATTTTTCATACAAATTTTTCAAAACTAGAGGTACTGTACCTCTAGTACGAAAAACTTTCGAGTTCGTTTCGTTGCGTATTCAAAGTGTCATCGAAAAATTTTGTATGAAAAATTAAACAGCGCCCCCTAGGGCGGCTATAATATAGGGGGCGCTGTTTAATTTTTCATACAAAATTTTTCGATGACACTTTGAATACGCAACGAAACGAACTCGAAAGTTTTTCGTACTAGAGGTACTGAAGTGTTGTCAACATTGAAACATTCCCATTATGAATGGATGGAGAGCATTTTCACAAATTAAAAAATAATCCTTTCTTGAATTTAAGGTTTCACTTAAAAAACTAAGGCTTTAAAATGTACTGATCATTTCAAAATGGTTATTTGAATTTTTATTATCATATTTTTGAAGTTACAAAAAAAATTGGGAAATTATTTTTCTATTACTGGAATCCCTGGCCAATAATCCATGGGTTACAAACCTTTTTTATGAAAATCCTTTTGTTAATAAAATCTTAGGTTCATAAAATAACCAATTTAACAAGATGCCAATTTTATAATCCAAGTTGATTTTACGACGATAATGATGATTGATGATCAATACATATTTTTGTTAATGATAATATGTTGTTTTACTGTGTTAAAAACACGTTTTTTTTCTATTTAAACTCTAAAATATACATAATAATTAGTGTACATTGAATTGACACAACAAACAATAATTCATTCTTGTAAGTTGTACTTGATGAAATTTCATTTCATATTATTTATTAATAATTCAAAGCAGAAAAGGCTTAT